GGGTGTCGGAGGCGTCCCGGGACGCTTTCCCTAGTGTAGGCTTTTGCGCCCGAGTGTTATGTGTGAGAATCGTGGGATGAATGTGTTGGTATGCCTGTTTTGCCATATTTTTTAAATATAGGGCTAGGTAGGATAGGTAGTATACTTCTGGTATGTCTGTTAATTTATAAGTAGGTAGGGCCGGGCAGGTTGTCACAGTCTCTGATCGGGTAGGCGCGTTTTCGCGTGACAATCTGTTTCAGGGAATAAAATTTGAGAAATCGAGGGCGAAGCTGAAACGAATGGATGACAATGCCATTCGTCTCTGGTTTTGCTCGTCGATTTTTCGAATTTCGTGGTCGCGGTCGTGATGTGCTTTCGAAACGAACGTTGCGCTCGAGATTCTGTGCATGTACGGAGAACGATCATTGCGTTCGTTGGTCGTCCATGCACTTAGCTTCCGCGATTTAGTCCTTTTTTTTTTTCTTTTTTTCTTTGGTTTGCGATTAGTGAATCTCGAGCCTAGATTTAAGTTTCAGCGGGCATTGCGCCCGAAGGAGGAAGACCGAAGAGGCCTCGACAAACTGTCACGAAGAGGGGCTGCAACGAATGGCTTCTCATCTTTTGGATCTAGTCTGGGTCCAAAGAATGGGAAGTCATTGTTACTACTTTGTCATTGTGCTCGTTTTAGTAATACGTAGTATATGTTGTTGTATCGTATCTGGCCAATTTGCATGCTGGCCCATCGTTCATCCAGTCATCATGGGCAAATCGCGGTTTTGCATTAGTGTTGCGATTGATAAATAACGGGTTGAATTAGAGTTGCGATAAAATGATAATCGCGTTTATTATTAGCGTTGCGTTGAACAGAATATAGCGGTTGCTTTTAATTATTTTCATTATGAATTAGTCTATTTTTTTTATTATTTCTTTTATTCTTTTAATATAAATTTGATTTTATTCTATAATATAATTATGATTTATGATATCATGATATTTAAAGTAACTTTTAAGATTTATAAAATAATAATAAATTTTATATTAAATTCACTTGAAGAATTAGTGTTGCGTTGATGAAAGATCGCGTTTTTTATAGTAGTGTTGCGTTTATTTGCCTAAAATTGCCCATATCTCTTCCACTTGGACTGTGGAAGTATGTTCCTGAATCACCTACTACAGCCAAAAAGGCTGTACAAAGGGTGAATGTACGACGGCAGTCTCTGACTATGGCTGCAAACTTCCGCTATTAGTGTTGCGTCTATAATAAAATATGAGTGCAAAAATTAGTTTATTAAAGTTTCGTAAATAGTTAAAATATTTTATTGACGGAATATGGTTTCGCGAGTCTTTTATATTTTTTTTTCTTTTTTTGTTTTGTTGATCGAGGATTTCATTCTTGAATATAAAAATATAATAAAGCACTCTTCGTGTTTTCTTTTGAGACTCTAGTATATTAGTGTTGCGAAAAGAATAGAAATACTCCACTCACGGTTTGTTCGGGTTTATATTGAGTGGATAGTTATTGTAGTAACCCTTCTGGTTACCTCTTCTTCGTCTTTTTCTTTTCAGCACTCCCTTATTGAGAGCATTTGTTATTGAAAATACTATTAAAAACATATTTTTTTATGAATAATTTTATTTTAAAATTATAAATTATTTTTAATATAATTTGAATTTTTTTCAAATTGATAATATTTTTTTTATAATTAATTGGAAAATATAAATTATTTTCTAATTAATTATAAATTCAATCATTTAATCCAGTAATTAAGTTTGTTACAGGTATGAAATGAAAAGGATAAATGAAGAAAAAGGATTAGAAGATTTGGTCTTCGTTTCGTTTTCATTTGTAATTATTATTAACTCTGTTATTAATTCTGTTTTATTTTTTGTTATAGAAACTCTTCAGCTTTTAACGGAATAGAAGAGAAGAATTTTTTTTTTCATCAAGGGATAAATCTTTCATTTTTTAGATAGAATCGAAGAATTATTTAGCTTTCTGATAGGTCGGATTTATAAACATTTAGTGTTTGTTGTATTCTTCCTTTTATTAAAACATACTTTTCTCTTTTCTGGTTCATAGTTCCATGAAACAGTATTCCTAATTTCCAAGAAAGCATAATTGTAAATTGTTTGTGTCTTCCTCATTCTTCCTCATTCTAAACGATTAAATCCCTTTAATCTTTGATTTAATTTTGTACCTATCATTGGTATTTCCTTATTTTATTTTCCTTGCATTTTCTATGGTACAACATGTGGTTCATGTTGTACCATAAATTCCTAAAAAATTTAATATCAATATCAATATAGATAGGGTTATGAAAAGAATCTTTTAGATTTTCAATAGGCAAGATTTAATGAAAATGTTTTTAAGTTGTTTAAAATATTTAATAAATAACTTGTTTCATCTCAACAATTGTTCCTTACAAGAACAAAAGATTGCATTATAAAAAAACATTAAGTAAAATTTATTTAGAATGCATGCAGAATGGGTGTTAATCATGTAGATAAATCTAATGTGTAGTTGTAGACAAATAGATAGATAATTAATACATAGGATAAAGTAGGATAGTATTTTATAGAAAGCTTATTTCGCTTATTTTCTTTTCATTTTCCTTTTCCCTTTCAACTATCATTTATTTTTCATTTTCTATTATGAAAATGTAAAATATTGATAGAATATTTCTTAATTTGGATTTTATATTCAAATCTACTCTTCAGCATCAATTTTCTTTGTAACTTCTTTTTGCTTATGCACATTTTGCAAATGTACGTCGAAAGGGAAACTTTATTTATTTTTAAACAAATATACATGTTTAAAGATGAATAAATTTTCTCGCAAGAGGAATATCGTGGTCAGAATGATTCTCTAATTTATATCAAACCAAGATAAAATCATACTTGATATATAATCATATCATTGTACAATCAATGTCAATGATACAATTATATATTTTATAAAAAATAATATGAGTTAATTGGCTCTTCTATATTCTTCCTATATACATATTTTATTAATCATGGATAGATAACATTCTCGTTTCATTTTCTAAAATTATGAGATATATAATTTTTTTTTTTGAATGATTTAATTTCGTTCACATATTTAGATCACATCATACTAGATGGCGTAAGCAACCCTCTGGTCTTTTTTTTTTTTGAGATTGATATTTGAAAACATGTGACGGAAAATCCCATAAGATGTCACGTCTGTTCTATTTCGTCGTCAGAGAATCGAACTTGATCCTATCCCTACTAATGCCGTATCATCATCCTTGTCCAACCCATCGCGAACGAGCGATTCATGTAGCTGTCGCGTGAATGCTATCATTTGTTTTCTACGTTTCATCAGCCATCTCGATTCGAAGAAAATCGCTGCCCGTATATCGACCCATCGAGGGTATGCGAAATTGGAATCGCAGATTCTGAATTTCACGAAAATTGCCGTCTGAACGCTTCCGTGAGCCTAACAGTCGGCATCTGTCGTACGTAAACCCCGATTTTTATGTGAAAGACGATTCAATCATGATTTCTTATTATCTCGTCGATTTAGATTAATTAGATTGCGGATTTATGGAAAATTTAGCTGCCCAAAAAATCTAAAAAACTCACATTACGTTAAAACTCAAGTAGTTAGATCTTCAGATTCATTTTTTATAATTTATATCCGCGAAACGATTCACATATCTTTGAAAATTTAATTCCTTTTCTCTCTTTAATTTATTATTTTATTAATAACAATCCATATTTCTTTCCATTTCCATATACAAGATATTAATATATTTGTAGAATTTTTTGTAGAAATGCTTTTGCTTATTAACCACTTAATTTTATTTAATTTAGATGGAAAGGAAGGGTGGATCCTCCAAATGATTGTCCCATTGAATATATATCATCATCCTATATATATATATATATATATATATATATATAAAAGAAACGAATTCAATTACAATATAAATATAGCTTTGTTATCGAATTCGTCGCACTTCATGTTATATACGCAATACGGTCATTGACAAAATTTATATACGTATATACGTGTATAAATACATACATATAAATCTACGTAGTATCACACAAGACAAGTTGAACAATTGAATCGGTGAATGATCGATTCGTCATAGTAGTGAATAAACCGTGAACAGAGTGAGTGAATGGGGAAAAATATAGGAAAGTATTATTATTACTTGGATTACAAAAATTATTATTGGAATACGTTTTAAAAAAAAAAAAAACCATAAATATAAATTAATTACGTTATTTCACGTTGCCACGCTTTCCCCCGTCGAAATTGCAACGCAACCGACTTCACATTCATGAAACAAGCTCTGACACGCTTTGAAACGCCGCCTGTTGCGTATCGCACGTGGAAAACAAAACAAAACGCTGGCAATGCGATGCAACGCTTAGTATCAATTTGACTGTACATATACGTATATATAAAAATTAAAAAATTAAAAAATTAAAAAATTATAATGAAATACATACATATACATATATACGTATAAATAAAAACAACCGCTTATCTCTGATGCGTTTCTTCGAATCGAAGAAGTTGGAGGACGAGACCGGTAAGAAAATCGTCGGGAATCGAACTTGGCGAGTGGAGAGTAGAAGAACGATCGGCCTTTGTCCTCCGTGCGCGTGCACGCACACAAAAACTGGGGGAAAAAGGAAACGGTGCAAAACTACTAAGGATTGTACACGCGTCGGGAAAAAGAGCAGCGAATCGCATCGATCCGTTCTTGTCGAGAAAAAAACAAAACCGATCGCACTTCTGCCAAGATAGTCTCCGCCGTGATAGTCTCTCTGAACGATCTTACGCTCTTACGCTCCCCCTCGATCTTACGATCTTACGCGAGTGTCACTTTAGTGTCGACGGGAACGATCGGCGGAAACAAAATTTTTCACCCCTTGTCATACCGAGAGGAATCTGCCGAGATACGATACTGTTTGGACGATAATATATACATCGATCGATAATACTTCAAACTTCAAAACTGTCGAGGGGGGGAAAAATGCCGCGCAATTTGTCGGAGGCGGACAGGAAGAAGAATCAGTTCGATAAGGAGGAGAGGGTCCATTTGTTGGCCATAATGAAACAGTACGCCCCTTTGCTGGACAAGAGCGCGTCAACGTTGACACGTAAAAAGATTTGGACGACGATCGAGGACGAGTTCAAGAAGGCGGGATTCACCCGAAAGACGTCCGCTCAATTGAAGAAATATTGGCAGAACTACAAGTATCATTGCAAGAAGGCGACGGCGTTCAGAAAGGTATTCGTTATTCTCCCTCCCCCCCCTCCCCGTCCTCTTTTTTTTTTTCTTTTTCTCGCAAGAAATTCGTTCGTCGACGTCTCGCTGTTAATTAAAAATAAATTATCTGCTTCCGCCAAATATTATTCGCCAACATTCGTAATAATCGTTTATTATCGTGTTTGTTATCGTTAATCAGAGGGAATGGAGGGAATATTTAATTTTCGAAAGTTATAATTACGAAATCGTCATCTCTTTCGTTTTGTTTAATCGGCGTCATTTTCTTTTTTTCTTTTTTTTTTTTTTTTTTTTTAATAAATTAAAACCTTCCTCGTCTCGTGGAAAATCTTTTTCTCTACTGGAAATAAATTAATTAAGGAATAATAAATTTATTCGCGCTTCGTCCATCTTTAAATTTCTTTCGCTTCTCTGTCTCGCTATATAATTGACAAACTACCTCTTGACATAAATATACTAATGAATTGTAGGAAAATAAAAAGTACATAGAGTCGGAGGTGGCCGAGCCGCTCGAGTGGAATCGATACCAGGTTTTCGTAGAGAACCGTTCCCCGGCCAAATTTTCGGACGTTCCTGGGGTGGTTCGATCGTTGAACGATCGCCCATCGAAATCCCCTATTGAATCAGGCTGCCGTTTCGGTGAAACGTACGAGGACGATAAAGAATCATCTAGGAAATTGAATACGTCGGATGCTTTCATTGGTATATATATTTTTTTTTTCACTTATCCTTTCTCCATTATTTTCCTAATTTTCGTGAAATTTTGATAAAATGATAAAATTTCCCTAAAGCTTTTCTCGAATCTGAAAATACGCACATCGGCGGGAATTATAATACAACAAACATTGCCAAATTTTAAGATCTGTCCCGGGTGAAAATGGAACGAAACGACGATGGGACGGCTTCGATCGATTGCAAGATGGAGGAGGCGAATAATTTAGAGAGTACAAACGTGGAGGAGGATTGTTTGGAGGAGAAGAAAGAGATCTTCGTGAACGAGAGTCGCCTGCTGCCGCCCTCATCGTCCTCCTCCTCGTCGTCCTCGGCCAACACCACCGATTGCAAAACCACGTCGAATCGTATCGTTGTCTCCAACGCGCAGATTTCGAACAACAGCGTTACCGTGTCCGTAATATATCCTGAAAACAATAACGCCTACCTTCCCACGAGCACGGTGGAGGGAACGCTCGAAGTGCATTCGAAGTGCGGTGGAACAATGTCCGCGAGAAGGACAGGTATACACACCATTTATTCCCACTGATAATATTTTAAGCAAAGGAACAAATTTTTTTGAATTTTTTTACCATCTCAAAAATATCTTTCTTCGTTTCATCCTGCTAAATAATCTTTCTTTATCGTTTCTAACGTTCGGTCATTATATAGTCTCTTTTGAGGGTCAATTCTTGAGGCAAAGATACAAAAAAGTTTGGCATGTATGGCGATTTAGTGTTTATTTATTGAGTTTATAAGAGATCCAAGTTTTCATTGGGAGAAGCAGAAAAAGAAATGTAATTTAAATTATTTTTGCAACTTAATAAGTAAGCTTTCATTGGTATTTTTGTATATTTTCGTTTTTAAAAGTCTTCAAAGATGTTTCAAAGATAATCATTAATAAACGATTCGATTAAAATATCTATAAAATATTATAAAATCATAATAGGGAATTAATGCGAATCTTATTGCGAATTTCGGTATAGTACTTATCTTTTATATTTTGGCAGACGCTCTATGGAACGAGAGATCTCAGAAATCCACTTGCACAAATTCGACAAAAGTGCATGGTACAAACGCTGCCCACGTGACAGGATTCGGTTATCGCGATGTAATGGAGCGCAATGGGGATCGTGTGCGTTTAAACGAAAGTAAGATGGAATGAAGTGAACAGGCAGAAGTCTAAAATTACCATTATATACAGAATGGTTCGTAATTCGTGGTACAAGCGAGATGGAGAGGATTCTAGGACTCAACATAAAAGAAAAAATACCATTGAAAAATATTCAAGCTTGATTTTCTTCTTATTCTCGAGTTTTAAAATCTTCTTTTTGTATCACGAATTTACGAATCAGTCTGTGTATATATATATTTCTCAGAATAACAATTATAAGAATATTTAACATTCTTGATTTGAAAATTTTAGTACGTGATTCGTGCAAAGTTTGGACGAAGTAGTTTAGGAAATTTAAAAGGTGATTCTAAAGGCTAGAGCAAACAGAAAAGTTGGTATGCAAAAAGTTGAAGTCTTGCTCTAGATAAAACGAGATGAAGAGACTTGAAAAGTAAGTTTGAATGGACTCAATCATTTTTGCACATCAACTTTTGCATTTGCTTTGATCTTTAGAATCAACTCTTAAATTTGAACTTTTCTGGTCGTTTATTACATATCCTTTTAAATAATATTTCTAACATAAATATAAATTTGTTTATATATTTTTTTTAATCATATCAAAGTTACTTAAAAAAAGTAACTTTTTTTTCATATCTTTCTGCCAATTTTCTTAATTTTTCAAATTTCATCAATTGAGCTGCTCTCTGATTAAGAGTAAATGTTATTAATTATGGTCATCTTGCAAAAGTTTTCAAAAGAAAAACTTTTAACTCTCTCTTCCAGCAAATTTCCTGTCTTTTCGAATTAAAAAATTCATTTGATCTTGATTTTCTATATTTCCAACCATTTTTCATTTAAAACATTTCACTGTAAAGAAATAAATAATTGCAATTCCTTTCATTTAACTTCTCCTATTATAGTGGGAAAGAAATTCTTTAATTTCTAATAGCAATCTTTCGTTATATTCTTCATTTTAGTATAAACTTTTGTTCTTATATGATTTTTTTGAAATTACAATTTTTAAAACGACATTATCTGATTTGAAACACTTCCAATCGTTTCGAATTTATTACGCTTCAAAATTTTTAGAAATCTATCGCAAGATTGGAAATCTTAACTTCGATAACATTTCTTCAGATTGTGCCAATTTCCACGATCTATTTCTTTATGACTTCAAACCTTCAAGATCCTTTCTCTTTTATCCTTCACCCTATTACGTGCAAGAAATGTTATAGAAAATGTTATAGAAAATCTATCCAAAAATTTTAGACTTTCGATCATATTAAAAATAATTGCAATCTTTATTCTAGTAAATTTAACAACATAAACGATACATAGATAAAAGTAATGAAATTAATTGCAAAGAAGAAAGATCAAAAATCGTTGGACCAATGTTAATTTTGATAGTATTAAACAGGAGTGCGAGTAAATTAATTCTTCGAAATACGACATATATTTTCAGACAGCGAGGAATGCGATTCGTTCGAGTGTAACGCGAACGATGAGAAACAGATCGGGGAATTCCCGAAGGAGGATTTCGTTGCGACAGAGAGCGACGAGAACGAGGGGGGCGCGGTTAAAGCAAGAAACTCTGGACCTAGGAACGATCGTTTCGAATCCAGGGGCTACGTCTTTCTAACGGATTATCGTAATCGGCTGAAGCATAGGTTGCTATTGCAGCAGCTGGAAGTAAGTTGGTCGAGAGGTTCTTGTTAGGAAATAAGGTGACCATGTCCCCTTACTGCTTTGAACGAAGAATTAATGGTAATGGTAAAAATTTGATAATTTTTCTCTTAATCTAGCAGAGGATCATTGTGTCACGATTTCAATTGTATCACACTTTTTTTTCTTTTTAAGAATTTAATATTCCTTTTTTTTTTTTGTCTTTCGGTTATACTCTTCGAAATTAACCTTACATTTTTAATATTAACTATCGTGTGAAAGCAAGTTTCAAGAATTTGCTCGCATAGTTTTTATTATTTTTTTTTTCCAGCTGTATTCAATCCGTTCAATTAAACCTTTGAACTCGAATAACGAATCAGATTTCGTGATAATTTAGCGTCGAGGTGTGTAACATGATGAGCTGACATTTGTTAAAAAAAACAAGTTGAAAATGTGAACGAAACGAAAAATTATAAAAATAACAAAACGATTAAATCAAGATGAAATGAATTTAATAAATATTGAAGTAGAAGCAGTAAGTAAGTAGGTTGAGTCGCCTACTTGACAGCACAACATCTGATCGGCAACTGATCGGTAAATGATCGGCATATTCACAACTGTCGTCCATTTAACAGCATGTCAGCGGCATAACATCCACTTTCAATTGTTTACACATTAGCAAGGCATCGGCGTATATATTTCGTAATAAGATGAAAGATAAACATTCGTGCGAGCAGAATTCATTTAGCATAATCGAATAATTGCAAAATTCGATCGAAAAATGCTCGATAATTTTTTATTATTTTTTATCTCGAGCACCTATGAATTCTGAATCAGGACAATATTGGACAAGACTGGAGTTCGTTCGTCAATTATACCAATGAGCCAATTTTTCCTGAAACTGAAACTCAATTTTTGAACGCACGTGCCTTTAGAAACTCGAAGATCCAAAAACAAAATACTTTATCTTAATAATTTCATAATGCAAATATATATTTCTTGCAACAATTGCTCTCGAGAATATCTCTTACAAGTAGACACACTGTGATAAGAGCAATTATTATACACGTTCAAAATCATCTCTAGATCTCTAATTAATAAAATTGGAATCGAATGAAAATCACGAAAATTCGAGAGAAATTTAAAATTATGTATGGTCACCTTATTAAAAAAAAAAAAAAAAAAAAAANAAAAAAAAAAAAAACAAAAAAAGGAAAAAGAAAACAGGACGTAAGAAACAAAGATCGTTCGTTGCAGACAGAGGAGAAACGGTTGAAAATAAAGATTGCCGAGATGGCGATCCAAGAGGTGCAGCTGAGGATAAAAGCGTTGAGCGAGGACATGCGACGGACCGAGGAATTGCACCGATTGCACTTGGTGCGCGCAGCGGCCGGGGATGCAAGCGTACGGGTGGGCGAGTTTCCGAACAATTCCTGAAAAAAAGGAAAAAAGAGCGAGGAAAGACGATGGAGGAGAAGGAGAGAAGAAGAGGACACGCGTTCACGTGTGCTTCAAATTATTTTTATTAATCACCATCATTATCGTGTGTTAACGATGTCGTCGTTATCTTAGAAAAAACGCATGGGACCATACAAAATAACAATGCGCTTAGATTTTCGTGGTAACCGAGCAACGTTATTTTTTTTTTTTTTTTTTTTTTTTTTTTTTCTTACAATCGCGATAATTCTTCGCCTGTTTTTCCGTCATCCGTCGTTTTTTAATTATTTAATTCGAGAGATCGAGACGGCACACACCGTCGGGAATAATTGGAGAACGGTTAAGACAAGATCAATTACATTATTTGCTTCTTCGATCCGTAATCTCTCTGCCTCGCCTATATAATATTTCTCTACTCACCGCAGTCGCGATCATCTCAAAGCCGTCCATTTATTTGCCAATCTTGCCCGTTCGTTCCCTCCTCTCAACTGCTTGTAACTAGCGATTTTCCTTGTATTTAGTGATTGTTAATAATTATCACAGAAAGTTCGTAAAACAATGATCTTTGAGTTACATGTTGATTCGTGTAGCCTCGTTTTGTAAGTAAGTTCGTTTTTTTTTTTTTTTTCTTTTTCTTTTCTTTTTGCGTGTAAGTATATACGCGAGTGTGGGTGTAGTGTATACGCGCGTCTCTTCTGTCTGTTTCCTGTGTGTGCGACTCGGTATCATATGTAAGTAATGTATACGTGTAGCGTGTATCTATCGAAAATCGTCTCTTTTTTTTTTTCGCTATCTTTCTTTCGCGTGTTTTTTCTCTCTTTCTGTTTTTTTTTTTTTTTCTCCCCCCGTTCACTTTTTTCGAGAGAGTTTTTACCGTACGTTTTACCTAGACGGAAAAGTTTGTCACGTTGCTGTAAGTAGAGTAACAATAGATTAGCGTTTAGTACATAACTAACGGTAACAGCGATACGAGTATAACGGCACGCATTGGAATAGCCCCTTTAACTTTGCAGCATTTAAAAATATTAAGTGTAACGCTATAGTAGAATAGTTTCTTTCAATCATAAAGGAGAGAAGAAGATTGATTTTCTTATTTACGGGATCGTCGGTACGCTGAACGAGTAAAAGAGAGAGAGAGAGAGAGAGTGAGAGAAAGAGAAGAGACGGAGACAAAGAGCAGAGACAAAAAGGGACCGATCGATAGTCGAAGAAACGCTAGGGATGATCACTTTCATCTTTTTCACGTGTAAGTGCTGTTTTCTCTCTCGTAGAGAAAATTCCATTTTTTTCGTTTCGATGCAACTGGAAAAAATTCGTGTCGTTTCCCAAACCAAGGGCAGAACGTTGTAAACCTTATAAAGCCGTTTTGATTGTCGCGATTATGTTGCCCGTCGAATGGAATTCGAACTCGATATCCCAACAGCTTTTTTTTTCATCACGCATTTCCTTTTCATTGCGTTTCCAAACATTAATGTAATTAACCTTTTCCTCCAAAAGAAGAGGAAGAACGTTTTGATAGAGATCGGTTTTTAAAAAAAAAATCCCTTTTTCTCTCTTCTCGATGTCTCATTTATTAATTTGATAAAATAGAAAAAAAACTATTCGGTTACGCACGAACGTGTCGGGATTACGAAACTAGCTGAACGCATACGAATGTATCCGAGTGGATACGAGCGTAATTTAATGCAATATGCACAGAAGCGAGAGCTTCCGAGTCGTTAAGCGCGCGAAAGTACATATCAGGAAGAATATGCAAACTTCTTTATTTTTTCTTTCCTTTTCTTTTCTATTCTCTCTCTTTCTCTCTCTCTCTCTCTCTTTCTCCATCCCCCACTCTTTTCTCATTTTTGCTCTCTCTGACGATCTACCACTTGTCTCGTACCATTGGCAAGTCAAAGAGAGGAGATTGTAGCTCGACGAAGCTCCACTACGAGAGAATTTTTACACGGAAAGCAGCTAGAAATTTCTCATCTAAGCGGAAAATTTTCATTTCTTATCGTTTATTAATCACCATGAAAATGTAAAAATTACTTAATTAAGTCAACTCTCAGTCCGTGATTCGCTGGTATACGAACGAGTATAATTTATAATCCGATTCGTCTCGATCGTATCGAGCTGCTTTTTCATTTGCACGCGGTTTCGATTAATCGATAACGAATTATCGGTAAATTCAGGCGAATCGGTGATTCTTATTCTCGAAACGATTAATCCAAGCTGGATTATTTCTCGCAACTATAATATATCAAGTTGAAATAGAAGAATGAATATAATATAATTGGAAATTATATTTCTAAATTCAAAAATAAGTTTTTGAAAGTGTACAAATTATACGAACGATGAGATGATAATTAAATCGATACACTCTTAAATTACGAAGTCGAGAAGGTTAAGAATCTCCGATAAAGAAAATCTGTACTTGGCATCTAGTCGATACGAATAACGACGATATTCTGATAACGAAAAAACGATAAACATAAATATTTAAATGTTTAATTAAATTATAAACATTTTCGAATCATTGTGTATATAGGTTAACTTCACAATCATCGAATAGATTCCTCTGATATATTCTTCTTCTGAGTTACAATATTCCATCTTGCATTTCGAAATATAATTGAAATTTTTATCATTTTATTTGTCATCTTACAAACATACATAGAACTTTCTTAATTTATTTTAAGATTAATCATTTCGAGGTAAATTTTTCTTCTAGCAACGAATAAAATATATAATTCCATTTGTAATAGAATTCTATACGTTCCAATGGAATATCTGTAATTCCAGAAAAATCAACAATTTTATCCTCGTAAGATCCTTGTAAAATATACTTTAAAACTAAATCCAATAATAAAAAGTTAAAAGTTCAAATATTTATATCAATATGTCTTGAGAGATAAAGAAATGCTAGGTGGAATATTTTCCTTTCAAAGAGGCTTTAAATATATCCTCGAGAAAATTACATACTTCTCGATCGTACTTTCGAAAACTTTTTCCCATTCGCGATAAAATTTATCGATAAAATAACGAGTCGAAAATATCAATCAAAATTGAAAGTTGTTCATTCGAATAAATTGAGAACAATTCATCGTCGTAAACTCGTGATCGACATTTGGTACAATCACCTTGTATCATCGCACCCTATCCTTCGAAGTAATCGCCTCTTCTTAAAGGATATCGATGGATTTTTAAAATTCATTCGTCAAAATTTCGTAATCATCAGCGTTAACAAAGTTCTTCGATTATTGCTACTGTTTGACAACGATCGATCGAGTAATTCGACAACAACAAATAATTCGTTCTCTCGCGTCCCTCTTTGCCTATACGACAAACACGCCTATAACTCGAAGTTATTAAATTCCGAGAAATTAGTAATTCCGCGCAACGAATTACGATAAACGACTCGAGACGCGAGACGTGACGACGAGTGTTTTTTGCGCGTGTCATCGCAAGTCGTTTTTTCGATTTTTTTTTTTTTCGAAAAAAAAAAAAAATGCGCGTGCTCGACGCGTTGCCGAACGTAGCACGCATACAGGTATATATATCAAACATTTTGTGTCGCGAATCCATTTTATTTTCTACGTCTACGCGTCTTTCTGTTAAAAATGTAACCCGTTATCTTCGTTGCACCGTACGATCACGGCGCAGAAAAACTTTTTCGATTTGACAAGGAACAAGAGTAAATTCTAATTCTATCTAAGATCGTTTAAAGTTTCTTTCTCGCTACGGATTCTCGCAAGATAGATCAAAAGTTTTTATTACGTTCTAATTGAGAATGATTTTGTTGTACGAACGACAAAGGAGAAATATTTATCTTTTTTTTTTTTTTTTTTTTTGGAAACCTCTTCAAATTTTTGCGAACGATGGAAATTAATTGACAATAAAAAAAAAAAAAAAAAAAAAAGAAACGTGTCAAATATTTTCCGTGTTGATTTGTTGGAGAATTGTATTACATATTTACTTTCTGTCAGATTATATCAGGATGCAACAAGTGACGTGTTAAATCCTTGTAGATATTTTCGAGGAAAAATATTTTCCATTCGGGTCGAAGTAATGGAAAAAGAAGGAATTTTTGGTTACTGTGATACTGAGATCGTTTGTAAATTTTAACAAATGGAGAAGAAATGAGGAAGAATGGGAAAGGGAAAGAGGAAGAATGGAAAGAGAAAATGGAAGTCAGGGAAGGAATTTTATGGCTTGAAGATATTTTATTCGTCGATTAAAGTTTTGTACGCGCGGCGAGGTAAGAAAAAGAAAGTATCATAGCTTCGAGCTAAGATTTCAAAGGATTTTTCACCAACAAACAAACACATATTTTACTTTGTTGTTTATCTTTACTTGCTCGTTCGTTTCTTCCGCCATTTTACATCGTTCCGTGAAATTTATACAAGATGTAAAAACTATGTCACAGTGCGTATTCTAACAACACAAAAGGACTTCAGACTGATTTCAATGGCAAAGTTGAAGTTGAAACTTTGCGAAACTTAAAATGCTTATTTTTTTTTCTTCTTTTTTAAGAAAAATCTTCTCTATCAAAAATTAAAATTATAATTTTTAAAATTCCTCAAATTTAAGTTTGTAAAAAAATAATGGGTATTTAAAGTTTAAACATATTCAAATTTTATGGATTATTAGGAATTTAAATAAAAATATTTTTATATCAGAAAATTTTGGATTTCGAGTTACAAAATTATCAAAAAGTTTTTCAATTCAAGAATTTCTTAAGTTTCAAGATTTCGTTTTCAAAGTTTTAATCCCATCCTTAAACAAACTCTTAATATCCAATATAGTTCTAAATTGCATAATATCCAATTTATAATTAAATATATTAAAATTCTATTTAAACAACGATTTAAACAAATTTGTCATTCGTCTCGCACGAGAAATCCAGCACGAAACGAAATTTTCTCGTAAATTTCATCGTGCACGAGGGTGGAATAACGAGGAGAAGCGCAACGAATCGTGAATAAATCGAAAAAAGACCAAAGCGATCGTAAGAAGATGGGCAAAGGGTGATATTTGCGGATATAGTGGTATCGAACGTTTTCACGTGAGTCTAATAGAAGACGGCGACGAAGGAAGAATAATGGGAGGTTTGCCAATATCGAGAGATTTTTCATTGGCCGTCAAGCGAAGATAGCGATTTGGGGATTTTAGCGAGAGGAGGTCGCGCATGCGCCACCAGTCTAGTTACTAAATATTTGTTTGACTCGACCGATATATAGATCCGATGTTAATATAATCGTTATCGACGAAAGAGGGCGAGCTCTCCGCTATCGCCATTTAAAATTGATGCGATCTCATGAGGGGTTGCGCGTCGATTTAACCGATTAAAGTTGCAAGATCGAGGCGATTATGGCTAATTTGAGAGGACTATTACTCGAAACGGAATTTTATTTCTGTCCTTAGATAATCCAGGAAAAATAATACCGTCTATAAGTAATTGGCTTTCAGCCATCTTTTGCTTTTTATTTTGTCGAAATAACATAAAATATATCGTAAGATAGTGATTTTAAGAACAATGAAATGTAAAAATTGTGCAAAGTAATAACAAAAATGGTTTAATCAGTTTATTTCGAATAAATTGAATTAGTTGTATAAATTATTGAGAAATTGTTATGAAATAGATAAAAAATGTAAAGTATTTTAAAATCAGATTCAAGAAGATATATCGGAAAAACTTGTTGCTTGTTGAACGTGTTGGAAATTATTCATTATTTAAAAAAAAAATTTATATCAATTTTGATATTTTTATACACGAATACTATAAATTGACATTTATTCAACTCAAAAATATTCGCAATGATATTTTTGACATTTATGGATGGTAAATCGATCGAATCATCGAACGAGAAAAAAAGTTGAAATACCTAAATAAATAGTTAAAAATAAACTAGAAGGAATGAAGTGGATCTAAAAAAAGTCACTTTGATTTATTCAAAGTATTATTTATCATCGACTGTAATCCCTGGGGCGTATACAGAAGCATGCTTCGCATATCCGAAATTATAATTTTCATGTCTGTTATTCATGCGTGTACACATATACATATATATATACGCGACAAGACGGCGACAGTGACGACGATGCCGGCATAATTTATGTAATGGCGCAAACATCTACGAAACGAACGATATCCCTCTAAACGAACATTCCGCGCATTACCATTCTAAACCACGAAAAGTTTGAATCCGAGCGAAAAGTTTTCGATTCGAGTGCGCTCGTTAAGCCAAAACGCGAAAAGTTGTTTGCTTTTTCGAAAACATTTTCAACCGGTGGTAAACTCGGTACAACCTCGGTATAATGACGATCGATGGTAGAGCGCACTGGAAAAACACTAGGAAAAGTTACGATGTAAAACGATTGCTATTGATTTTACGGGAAAAATTTTAAAAACGATTTTGAGCTTGTTTGGAATATGTGTAACGTGCACGAAAACACGTTACAATAGGTTTTAATAAACCAGGCGAATTTATGTAAATTTGCGCCAAAAATAAATGCAATATCTCGTGAAATTTTCAAAAAATTCAACACTTTGTAAGATATTGTTACACGAGCCTCGTTCATTGGATGGAAAAATGTAACCGTATAGAGAAAGATAAACACGAGGTATTTTAATTTATATTATTTTTACTTTGAAAATAATGTAATAGAGAACGGGACATCTGCATCTTTAGGTTTACAAGTCGATTGAAATGCGAGAGAGGCACGATAAGAATTTAATTGTTATGTAAAGATATGCATATGTATATTAGATATGCATATATATTTATACCACGAGCATGTACCACTGGTATATTAATAAAGAAAATTGGAGAATATCACGAAAGGAAAATGTAAAAAGTATGTGTAATATGTTAATGTCAAGTGCTTTCATGTTCGGTGATAGAAATTTCTCGGGGAATAAGTCTCGAGAAGCGAGCTCGCAAGATTAATCGTTGTTTCAGAATTGTTTGCTACATAAAGAGCAGGTCGTTATGCCACTGAATTAACCCTTCGAGGACTATTTGAGCAGGAGAATGTGTTTTATCGTCGATTCGATGTGAATAAGAGCAAAATATAAATATAATGTCGACTATAAATTAATTATTTCTGAAAATAATTGGACGAAATAGGTGAAATAATTCATCGCTCAATTGAGAAATAAATAGTGGTTTGTTCGTATAAAGACGGAAAAATATCAAAGAATACGAATTAAGAGGAAATATATCTACAAGTTTATCAAGATCTGAAGGCAGATGGCGTGAAATTGCACTATAACGAACTTTAATAAGCGACACGTATTAACGAGCCATTTAAACTTTGTTTCACTTTGCTATAAATTTGGTGGTGCGCGCGAATTTTCGAAATCGTGGAATTCCTTGGATCGGATCGGCAAAGATCGGCCGAACTTATCCGAAAGTATCCGAATGTATCCGAATACGTACGAAGATTACCGAAGGAATTATTCGCCATTTTTATTAATCGTATCTTCGCTTAATAACATCAAAAAATATAATATTTTTCTTTTTAATACAATCGTTATTTCGAGAATTACAATCATTACGAATTCACATATATTTCTCTATAATTAATTTCGAAATAATATCTCATTTTATCCGTCTATCAGAGAATTTTAACGAATCTGAAATTTTTCAATGGAAAGGAATCAAAAAGATTCAAAATCCATTCAAATCAGAACTCAAGCTTTTTGGAGATGCCCCTTTTCACGATTTCTCGTTTTGTTACTATTGAAACGAGGAATATCGTAGGTAATGTAAAGATGTAAACGAGGAAGGGAGAAGTTTCTATTTCGCAATCATCGATATCACTCTCCTCTTTGCGTTTCAATTTTGCTTGACTACATACATCGAACTTTTAGCAGTAGATATCCTTCGAACGACTCATTTACCATGTTTATCAAACTGTCAATTTTTAATGCGTCCATGTTAAATGAAGTTTTCACTCTGCTTTTCCATATTTCTTTTTCTTTTCTCTCTCTTTCCAGATAAAAAATAAAAGTCGGCCGCATGAATCTGTAAATAGTTGAAAGAGAAATCGAAAAAACGAGAAGAAAAGGTGCAACGGAAGGTAGAAAAACGTTGTGCGGATAGAAAGAAGTACGGTTGAGAAGTAACCAGGTGAACATTATAAAATCGAAGTAAATTTTCTCGTCGATCCTCTGTTTCGTTATTTTTCCTTTTTTCACGATATCAGATACCGCAGCCGGTATCCCCTGAATCTTTCATAGACCATTCTTTGTCTGCGAACCGGAGGAATACGTTTAAATCGTAATTCGTTCGACTGATTTTTTAACGAGATACGGACCCCCTCGAAGATACCAAAAATATATACGTAACGTCTTCGAGAAAAATTTCTCCCTTTGCACCTCTTTGAGCGCTATACGTGCGAGGAATATTCGATTGCATTTGATAGTAGTTTGGATTCCTCGTGGAAAATATTAAGCGAATGAGGGTGAGGGGAACGAATCTGCTTCCCCTTTTTCATTTCAAGCCTCCGTCGATGTATCGTTTCGACGTCCATTTTCGATTTTGAAAACTTTTGTAGCGCGAAAGGATAACAAATAGGGACGAGTTGAAACGTGATTCTTCAGATTCTTGAATCTGAACGTTTGTGAAAAATATCCTGAACGATTATTTTTTTTAAAAAGAATAGTAATTTTTGAAATTCTCATAATCGATCAATGCAGTAACGATGTAATAATTTATCTTCTCGACGAAAAATCTAATTTTTATGTTTTTTTTTTTTTAATCTCAATCAGTTTCGATGTTTCAATTGAGCCATCCCTCGTAATAAGACTTAATTTTTCTTTTTTTTTTTTTATCAACTATCAAAGGAAAGAGAATGCAAAGGATCAAAGAGACGTGGATAAAAATGTGTTTTTTTTTTCGAAGGAGGTATTTCAATGCGAATTCGCAAGAGAAAAGAATAATCCTTGACTGCACTTTTTCTTTTCCTTTTTTTCTTTTGTCACGATCATTCTCTTCTTCTTTTTTCTGGATTCATCGTATTACACGCGTATTCATATTCGACCAAAAAAAAAAAAAAAAAAGAAGAAAGAAAGTTAGAATAGGTCGATGAAACGTTTGTCCTTTCTACTTTCCTCTTATTTTAATCACTTCTTACACTGACCTTTTTCTTACCAATGATTTCTTTTTTTTCTTTTTCTGCATTCATTTCTCGCGGGAATAATATCGGGTCAAAGTTCAATTTTCCAGAAACTCTTGGCACAAAATAATAAATATTTCTTTGTGCTTGGAGCGAGAAAGAAAAGTTCTCTTGCACTTTGTGTTAAAAAGGGGAAAGGTTCAAGAAGTGATTTAAAAAAATTTCTGATTTTTAATAAAGCTTCGAATTATGCAATTTTTTTTTCTTTTTATCAATAAGCTATCTCTTCGAGAAAATTAAATTAAAAAGTTGAATCAAAACTTTTGAAATTTCATTGTCTTTTTCATATTTCGAATACGATCTTGCCTGAGAATTTTTTCAACAGCAAGGATTACATAGAATACTTATTGAATCCAGTGAATATTCCGTTAAAAAATAATTGCATCGTAATAATGCTCATAAAATTTCATCGAAGAAAAATGTTCTAATTTTCTTCTAATTTTCTTCAAAAACAAATTTCCCATTTTAAAATTACAATTTCGCGAGTGAAAACAATTTCCTTTCTCGCTATACGAGTTAATTTTTACTTCAAATTGATGATCAATTATCATCTCCCCTATCTCAACTTCCACGTCTAGAACACGTCCTCCCTGTGAACCAGTTGAAATTAATTCCAATCGCTCCATTACTTCGAGCAAGATTTCTCACGTTGAAGCGAGAAAACCAATCGATTTCCATCTTTCGAATTTTTTTTTTTCCCCAACCACCTCTCCAATTGTCGTTCGTACAAAGAAAATCGGTTGTAACGTCGTAAACCGTTTCGAATACAAAGAATCTATAAAATCGACGATCAAGCCACTACTCTGAGATTCTCTACTGTTCCTATCTTCTTGCTACGATCGCAACAATTTTCTCAAACGATTCGTGCAAAAAGGGAAAGAAACAACGTCGTCCTCCGCGCGCGAGGGAGAAAGAAACATAGAGAGATAGAGAAAAGTGGATAGCGATAGGAAGAGAGAGAAGTATAACAAGAGGATATCTCGTCGATTCAAATAATTTTTCCTACTCCTCTTCTTTTTTTTTTTTTTTTTTTCTTTCCAATCACAACTGTACCTACGTATGCGTGTACGCCGGGCTGTGGTGCAACGGGTTTTCGCCGGTTTGACCCCCAACATCTCTCCTTCTCTTTCTTTCTTTCTTTCTTTTTCTCTTTCTCTCTCTTTCTCTCTTATCCGTTTCGACGACCGGACCGAGGCGACGGGGCGATCGTTCGGCTTGAAACGAACGACGACGATTTGTCCGGCCTCGAGGAGGCCTGCCGTTACTCGCCGCCTAGCGACAGCGCCTGCACGATCCTCGGGTCGGCCTTGCTACCCTCCCGAAACTCCTCCAGGGTCAGTTTGTCGTCGTGGTTCTTGTCCATTTGATCGAAGATCTTGTCCACCCTTTTCTGCGGCGTGTTCTCGTCTTCCGCCTGCGGCTGCTGACCCTGGAAAACGGCAAAACACAACCGACCAAGAATAATCTATTAGGTTCTCGCGATTTAAAAGAAACCCTTGGGCTTTTGGGCTTTTGGGATTCGATTGGAGAAATACGGTAGGTGAGAAGTGGTGTTTGAATAATTGAGTAGATTCGTGGCACGAGTGAGAAGGGGATAGAAAGTGCAAAATTAAACAAGTTTTCTGAGTTATTTAGAAAGAAGAAGAAAGTTTCATTTAATAATTAATTACCAATTTAACAATCGGATAATATTGTATATATTTAACAATTAGATAATTTTGTACATATATTCGAATATCGAATAGATGTACAAGTTGTAAAATTGTGAGAGCGCGTTGTTGAAATACGAGTTGTAGTCTAATATCGAGTTTATAAAAAAACGAGGTCGCTGTCCGAAAACGGGGGAAAAAATTGTGACGAGGGTCCTTTAATTCGAGTTTCTCGTGTCGACAAGACTTTAGATAAAACTCGAGCCAGGAGAGAAGGGCGAGAAGTTAACGGAGCTTTGGATGGGATTTTTCTTCTTCTATCCCCGTATCGTTCATCGCTTCCGACTTTTGACCGAGTTTATACCGTGGCAGCCACCTGCGAAAGTCTTTAACACTCTATGAAAAAGATAAAATTATAGAGATTTCACTCGCGAACCGTCTCCAATATTTTTAATCATGGAGGCCAGGATATTTTACGCTCGCGTATTATTGTCTTTGATGAGACACCGTCGAGTCGAGACTAGTTAGAAATTGGGCTAAGAGTATTCTAGGAATTTAAATTTTTTGCTCTATGAAAATATATTTTAATCATGGAGGCCAGGATATTTTTCGCGTATTATTGTCTTTGATGAGACACCGTCGAGACTAGTTAGAAATTGGAATATTATTAAGGAATTTCAAATTTAAATGTTTCGAAAGTAAATTAAAGGTTGCGAGTAAAATTGCGACAAGGTTAATAATAATTCTTTTTCCCGTTGAATATCCCGGAATAGGGTTAGTCGTGATGTAATTAAGTGCCTTGGCATTATGTATTCCGCGGAGGAAATTTATCTCGAATCTTGCGTTGGAATAATGAATGAAGTTGGATTAAGAAGAAGAAGAAGAAGAAAAATAGGGGAAAGAAAATCGATGAGTTTTCATATATCGTTTGCAGCCGGTGGCATTTAACGCTATTTACGGGAAAATGCAATGTATCGTGTTTAACATCGTGTTTATTTCCATCGTATCGTTGCACGTTTGCCAAGAGAAATATCATTGAATTAAAGTGTTTTCTTTGTTCTTGTTGTTCCAGTTGTTCACAATGGTTTCTATGGGTTGCGTGAACGCGATGGGAGATCAGCTCAAAGCAAATGGAAATTATCTTTGCCATTATTTTTCGACTTTTTCTTTTTTTTTACTTTCTATTTTTCTTTTCTTTATTGGTTTTAAATTTTTTTTATTTTTTCATCTAATTTTACGATTCGTCACGCATAATTCGTAAATTTTTGGCACGTTTCTGTTTCTCGATTCTTCGCTTATTTTTCTTTTTTTTTTTTTATCTTTCTACTTTTAATTTTTCACTGTTACAAATTTACAATCCATCTTCATCATCGTATATTTGTAAAAATCTTCAACCTTTTATTTATTTTTTTTTTTTCAAAAAATACAATTTACATTATTTTTTAAGAGATTCTCTTTTATCAAAATTACAGACTTTTAAATATTCTTGTTTTGCTTTGATTTTTGTTTTTTCTTATTTTTTTATTAGTTTACATTTCATTATTTTTCCTTTACTTTCTTCTTTATTCTTCTTTTTCTTTGTGTCTTCAAATTTATCGTTTCATTTTCATCGACCAAGTGATTCGTAAATTATACAATTTTTAATTTTTTACTTCTTTTTTGTGTTTCTTTTTAACAAACGAATGGGATTGAAATCATCGTGAAACATTGGATCGTTTGTTCAATGAAACGAGTGAAGTATACAAACGTTCGTTGGATTTTTTTTTTAATTAAAAAATTAGCGGAATCCTTCATAAAATTATCCAAAATAAAATTCGAAACACGTTCCACTGAAGAACTCGTTGAATCAATGGAGAGGAGAATGCTTTTACCCGTGGCGCAGCTGTCACTTCGGACTGATACGCGATTAATCAGATATTTATAGCATCGAAATTTGGTAAAAACGTTTAACGACGTTCTCATGACATCTATTGGAAAGTTGGACAGCTGCTTCACGTTATCCCGTACCAAACTAATTTAGGCGTTAATTTTCGAACGAAACGAAAGAGAAAAATATATTTTTATTAAAATTATCAATTATCAAGAAAAGAGAATGATAATAAAAAGAAATAACAATTAATAACATTAATCCACAATTATGAATGCAAAATCCTTTGACTTGAAAAAGTCTTGCAAGGAAATTAATAACTAAATCAAAATTCCAGGTTTTAATGAAAATTTGTATATACATATCGAGACTTTTTTTTGAATATCATTGAAAATTGGCAAGAAACTCGAACATTAAGTGATTAAGATGCATTTGAAACGAAATTCTCGCATTGATCATGCTCCATCGCGATATGGCGCAATTACTTTGAAGGAGACATCGGAAGCGAGCATTTTTTCTCTAAACACGCCCTTAAAAAAAACCACGTGCAATTTATAAAGATACGATCGAAATGAAAAAGAGAATAAAGAGTGATGGTAAGCTCGATAAGAATGGTCATGCATGCATATTTTCGTTCCTTTTTATTGTGTACACGATGATAATTAGGGATTATGAATTTAATCAATTCTCTATTTCATGGTATAGTTAGATTTCTTTTTATTACACGGTGGATAAAAAAATTAATCAAGAAGGCAATGAAATTTGTATTGAATCAGATTTGGATAAAATTTATTTCGAATGTATAATTCAAAAATATTTGCTACGAAAAAGGTTTAAAATTAGTATTTCAATATATTGTTTGTATAATGTTCTTTATTTGGTCAAATAATAAATTTAAAAAAAAGAATCTTTTTTTCTAAAAAAAAATTTAATCTTGAAAAGTTTAATTTGCACTCGATTGCTAGAATTTTAATTTTCGATTTAGAAACATGCAAAAATTATAAAAATATTTTAATGTCTCGGAAAGAAAAAAGAAAAAAATACAAATTATAAGCGAAAATATAAAATAAAATAATTCAAATGTGTATAGGGATTTAAAATTTAATTAACGAACTTATATTACATCACATAATTTAATATAATTAATTTTTTTAATAACGAACGTTATTTTTTTACCATCTAAAAGCACATTTTAAGACACACAAATCTACCAAAAAATTATTCCATTCACATGAAATCACATGCCTTGCAATATCATGCAAGCAAAAGATAAATAAGTAAATTAAGTAAATTTTAACAATAAATAGTTTCGATTTTTAGTTTTAATTTGATATTCAAAGCGTCGAATAGCTCTTATTACGGTTATCCCAGAAAGAGTACAAAGATGAATTATAATAATTGCGAACAAATGTCATTAATTAAATTTCATTCGAAATCTCAATTGCTCATTTTTCCATCCAGAATCAATGCCCAATTCTGCATGCAAATTTAATTTGATCTTATTCTAACAATAAGTAAGTAATCGAGATAATCGTCGTTTCCAATACCCTGCTCTATATTTGCTTTTTCGAGCAACAAGATCCCATTTACCCGTGGCCATGAGTAACAATCGACGAGCTCTAAATTAATCTCTCTATTTTCACGGTCGATTTCAAGATCGATCCGCGAAATCAAAATCCATCCCACGGTCCATTGGGTATCCCGCGGTGGCCACGATTACATCCCGCAGGATAATCATCTCCACTCGACAATCGGCGAGGAAGGACCTCCTTGATCGACGTCTAATCTCCGTGGCGCGGCTGGAATTTTCCCTGTTTGCTGGCGCCAATGCGAGACCAACGATATTGATAAAGCCGAGTCCTCGGCGTCGGCGTCGACTTTGACGTCGGCGTCGGCGTTCCACGGGGGAAATTCGGGCATCGATCGGCCAAGATTTTCCACGACCGTCTCGAGACCGATCGTACGATTAACCGCGTTTCGCGATTAATAGGGGGAAAAAGACGATCCTTCAACCCCCTTGGAGAATCCTTGATATCGCTTGTCCAATAAGTTTCTATTTTCTTTGTTTTTTTGAGTAATTAATATTATTCGATTGGAAGGATTCATTTTTATTGTTAGGTTGTATTATCTTGTAAGGAAATTTAGCAATCTTCTTTTCCACCCCTTGGAGAGGATCCTTGATATCGCTTGTCCAATAAGTTTCTATTTTCTTTGTTTTTTTGAGTAATTAATATTATTCAAGGATATTGAAACGAGGAGGATCTATTTTTATTGTTAGGTTGTATTATTTTGTAAGGAAATTTAGCAATCTTCTTTTTCACCCCTTGGAGAGGATCCTTGATATCGCTTGTCCAATAAGTTTCTATTTTCTTTGTTTTTTTTTGAATAATTCATATTATTTGATTGGAACGAGGAGGATCCATTTTTATTGCTAGGTTGTATTATCTTGTAAGGAAATTTAGCAATCTTCTTTTCCAGCCTTTGCAGGGGATCCTTGATATCGCTTGTCCAATAAGTTAGTGTGATTCTTTTCTTTTCTTTTTTGAATAATTAATATTATTTGATTGGAAAGAGGAACTCGAAGGCTGTGAAGATCCATTTTTATTGTTAGGTTGGGCCATCTTATAAGGAAATTTAGTAATTCTTTCTTCCACTTCTTCGAGGGGATTGATATTGCTTCTCCAATAAGTTCGTGATTAAGAATTCTTAACGTAGATTAAGAATATTTGTTTTTTTTTTTTTTTTTTTTTTGAATAATTAATTTCATTAGAAGGAGAAATTTAAAGGGTAAGGATTTATTTTTATTATTGGGTTGTTGTGAAGTGAAGTGAAATGAAGTGAAGGATAAAAGTTTTCGTGTATTATCTTATAAGGAAATTTAGCTAATCCAAAGATTTTGGTTTTAATGAAAATTTGTGTGTATATAGAATATTTGTTTCAAAGATTATAAAGTGTTTCATAATTTAAATTAACGTAAAATAACAATTTGATTTTAACGAATTATGTTTAACAAAATTTTAACGAAATGTTACTTCAATACGAGATAGAGATTAAAATTTAAAATTGAATACTTTATCTATTCAATTACAAAAAAATAAAAAATGTTTAAAATTATAAATTATTATTATACATACTCTTCTACATACACGCAAATTTTCATTAAAAATTAAAATCTTTGAATTATTATTATCCTTATATAATATTATCTATAGAATAATCAAAGTATTTAATTTTTGCCAAATTAAAGACTAATCACACCTTCATTAAATTATTCTTCCATTATTTTTGCAAAAAGTACACGAATTTTTTTATCATCAATGGATAATCAAATATCCCAAATATATCAATTGTTATTTGGTTTTGCGATCATGTTAACTCATCGATTCGAAATGGACTCGATTGACGAATGTAGCGTAACACGTCGTCAGATATAATTATCAGTGGTGTATATTCAAATAAACAAGGAATTGGAACGTAATTACGAAATCCAATTAACTTTGATCGTGATTCCGTTATATAGGATCGAATCGTCACTGTTATCCAGCATAATAAGCAGCTAACTGTTTAAATGGTGTATTAACTCTGTCTCGAAATTCGACTGTGTAACGACCGAATAATTTTAACCAGATGAAAAATGTGTAATGGAAATGTTTTACGTATTTTTTTTCTTCTTTTTTCTTTTTTTTTTTTGAATTAATCTTTTAAAGGATTGTCGATTACTTAATTTCATTTAATTAAATTTATTAATTAAAATTTTATTAATATGATCGTCAAAAATGTTAATAATAATGAAAGAGTTACGAATATTTTTCATAAATTTATTATATTTCGTGCTAAAGATCCATTTCTTCAAGGGTAAAATTTTTATCGAAAACATTAAAAAATGAACATGCAACATTTTTACACTAATATTTATCGATATATCATTTAATTTAACCGAAACATGAAACACGACGAAAGAGCACTTAATTGACAAAGAAAGATGTGAATAAATACTTTTTGCAACTGTTGCTTCCTTTTTCTCGATACGCTGCACGAAAGCAGAGGGGAAAGAAAGCGGAGGGAAGTTTCTAATTTTCTCGACACTTTAGAACCAATGTACCTACCACCATCTCGTACATCGCGTCCACGATATTGTACATTTCCTCCCTTGTGATGAAACCATCGTTATCCACGTCATAGAGTCGAAACGCCCCTGAAAGTAAAGAAGAAGGAAGAGTCTTTATTATTACCGCTATAACTATTTCCTTAACGATATTTCACAATATGAATCGAAGTAAAAATATTAGGTCGTTCTCTTTTATTTTATTCTTCATCGATATACAAATTTTCAAAAAATGTAAGTTCTTTTCTTAATAATAATGGAAAATTATTAAAACGCTTAGGTTTCAAGAGTGATGAGAGGAAGGTGGCTTTGAATGAATGGCATTAATAAAAGCCACTTGAAATATTTTTTTTGAATAAGTCAAAATCATTTTAAAAAATGGAATAGCGAAAGTTACGGGAAAATAGAATTCCGACGTGCACAGAAATATACCTGTGTATAAATACTTTAGAAATATACGTACTTATGCACATTCTATATTTGGCAATGAGTACTGTACACGTGTACATATACTTCTAAATTTTTTATTACTATTGTACATACGTACATAGATATACGTGTGAAATAATCAAAATTTTATGAACAATAAGATAACATGGTAAATCAGTAAAAATACTGAAATACTAAAATTTTCGAAATTTATAATAACATTTGACGAAACGCGTTTAAAAAGGCCACCCGTTATTTGTTGAATATACGTATATTACAGATCTTACATCACTCGAAACCTCAGAAACATTAGTTAATTTGAAGCTTTTTCCATTATTATTATTATTATTATTATTATTATTATTATTATTATTTCGTTAATTTTTCAAATTGATAATTTATTCTCTAACGCGAAATTCATTCAAAAACTGTCACTACTCGTTTCGTTCCGTTAAACGTGTCATACACACAACTGGAAATCTTGGAAACATTTGTCTCGCTTAATTTCAAGCTTTCTATTTATATATTCGTCAAGTTGTCAGAAGGAGAAGGTTTTACTCACAGTGAAGTTTCTCGTCCAAGTTTCCGCGCGACGTCACCGAGAGCGCCCTTATGAACTCTTCGAATTCTATCGTGCCGTCCTGAGAACAAAAAAGGAAAAAAAAAAAAAAAAAAAAAAAAAAGAAGGATATTCGTTCGTGGAGATTGCGTCGAAACCAGAAATTTAGTTCAATTTTCAACCGTGGAACAAATTTCGCGATGAATTTATCACGAGGAATAAAATTATCCGGATAATCGATCGCTCTTCGAATCACACGGATCGTTTAACCTTTTATGAAGACTTTTTAAAGTTCGTTAACCTCTCCATGCCCTTTGATTGTTTGCTTATTTTTTTTTTTTTTTTTTATCATAAACTCTTTTCAAAATCTAATTTTTTTTTTAAGGGATAAGAAAAAAATTTTCTTTCGTGGATATTACGATAGAGATGTACAATCAGTTAAAAAAAGTCAAGGAAAATTTATTTATACTTGAAAAATTTGCGTGTGCAATGTATTTATTTTCTTTTTTAATCTCTTTGAGGATACGAAATCAATTTTCGGATTTTTTCTTTTTTTTTTTTTCATATTTTCCGTAGCAATGGCTTGAAAATATTTTTTTACAGTAATAGAATTCTAAAATTATTTTTATTTATTTTATAATTTAAATTTAAAAAAGAACAAAAATAATACTAATACTTTAAGGATTGATTTCGAAATGATATTCCATTAATAAGAAAATTATTCTATATATATATATATATAAATATTCATAAAATGTATGAAAACTTTTTGCAACTGATTGATACATCTATTTGTGATTTTTATTTCTATTCCATAAATATATTTATTTTTATAATATAATTATTTCTGACTTGGTGTGATGAGAATCGAATCACTGATCACAAAAATTAGAATAGGTTAAGAAAATTTTTATCGTCAATCGTGATTTATTGCAAAAGAATTTTTAAAAAACATTTTAATCTTCCGAACGAAAACTCAGCGAAAAAAAAGTTCGAGTAGTTTAAAGTGGTACAGAAGCGAAATTAAGAAGACAAGGGGAAAATGCTGCATCACAGATTCTATATTATACGTGGATGATTTTTTAAACACAAGTGGAACATGTTTGGGGGGTGTAAAATAGTTTGAGAAAGGAAAATAGTGAAATAAAAATGGTAAATAAAAAATAATAGAATCGTCTCGTTCTAAAATTGAAAAAGGACATGGAGAGGAGGAATATCTTCGTATCGTATCGGTAGATATTCTTTCGAAATGGTTTTCGCTTAAAGTGACATTTATTCTCGCTTAGAACCGGTGAATGGAAATGTAGGGACCACAAGAAATTTTATATTTTGCATAAATTTTCATAATTCGACTGCTGGTTGAATACAAGATAACGTTTGTAAATACACTCTCGGTAATTTTTTTTCTTTTTTTTTTTTTTTTTTTTTTGAATTTTTGTCGCAAAGATGATAATTTTAAAGAAACATTGACTAGGTAGAATCGTGATAAATCCTTTAAAATTATTGTTATTGTTCATAAAGGCAAATAGACCAACGACTTTGTATGTTAATATATTTTTAACAGAAATTCTACACAAAGAAGATTGCAAAGAGAGAGGGTAAAAGATAAGATAGTACAGTACCGTTTAAAAGTTTGGAAGCAGTAAGGAGTTTCAAGTAAAAACATAAAAAGTCGCATTGATAAATTTTTATTCATTACAATCAATTGTTGAATAATTAAATAATATATTGAATAATTAATATAAATAGTAATAATAGAGAGTGATCCAGATGTTTCTTTTCGTTCAAATATTCAATTGATATGTTCTACAGATAAAAGTAGAATATATACGTAAAAAGAATGTATAGTATTTCTCTTCTTCCAAGTAAAGGCCATATGAGTTCTCTGTTGTGGATAATTACAATTCAATAGTTTCATAAAGGTAGATGACATTTTGAAATGAAAATGTAGATATTTACAGAGTTTATATTGCTTTTCATATTTTTCTTGTAGCCTTTTAATAACTAAACGTGACATGTACGTGACATTTTAATCTTATTTTTACTTGTAGAACACACTGATGAAACAAAACAAGAAAAATCTGCAACGTTTTATATATTGAAACAAAAATTTCTGCTTTATCAAAATGATTTTTTTTTTTTTTTAAATTACATTTAAACGAATTTTGGTCATTCTATTTATTAATTTTTCTCTGTCTAAAGTATACTCTGTTAAAGAACATTTATGATTATTTTTATATTAAATTGTTGCAGATGAAAGTGACCAAATTTTCAATACGAGAGTTTAATATTTTTATTTTTATAGAAAATATAATATACAAAAAAATATATAATCGATTATAAAGTTTGATTCAACAAATTCATCGAAAAAAGTTAAAATTATAACAATTGACTCGATTCGATTTAATTGATCATTATTAATAATTCCTTATAGTTATGTTCATCAATCGTGATATTTTTTATACCAATTTTTTTCAAAAATTCTACATCAGCAATTTTTTCACAAATGTATGAAATACAGTTCATCAAAACATTGACACAATTTGATTTGCACGACACGATTGATGAAAAAATAAACAAGTCACATACAACTTCCAAATTTATTTAGTCACTTTTGTTTTTTTAATCTTTTTTTAACATTTTACAAATCTTTGAACTCGATCGATTATATTATGCGACGAATCAATAATATTAAAAAAAAAAAAAAAAATTACCAATGTTTCCAAACTTTTGAACGATAATGTACTTCATTCGCAATTAACATAAACAAACGTAAATAATAAATGTCGAATCGTTGGAGATAAATTACATTGCATAATACTCACGCTATTTTCATCGAACACTCTGAAAACGAGGGAGGCGAATTTCGATGGATCGCCGTGGGGAAAGAACTGCTTGTAGATCTTTATGAAACCCTGAAATCACGCAACAGGCAACCTTTATCTTCAAACTTTCCCCTTATCTAGCCGCGTATCGATTTTCGTTTAATTAACGTGCCAGGTGAAACGGGGTCATACCTGTTCCGTCAGCAACCCGTCGGGGCAGTCTTTCAGGAATCCTTTGTGCCTAAACAAACAGTCGCCAATGTTATCGAATCTGTTCTTACTCGTTTCGTAACATCCGTTTTCCTTTTTCCAGTTTCAATTTTATATTCTATACAAATGGACGGATCGATTGGCAAAACGTTACTGTAAGGGACAGATGGATTAAAACCGCAGATCCGATAGAACACGTTACGTTGCGTGATGGGGGATGGAGCACTCGAAAATCTCAAAACCTCTCGAAAAACTCGAGTTTTCGAGCTTTCGAAACTTTTTTATTTTTATTTTTATAATTGGAAATTGTTTGGATAAAAAGAAAATAATTTGTGCAAATAATTTATTTAAAATTTATTTTATCATCGTTTAATTAAATGGTGATAATTTAACGTGGTCTCATTTTAATTGGTACGATTTTAAAATAGTTTATAAGAAGGAAAGAAAAAATGAAGTATAGAAATAGAAATTTTTATAAATTATAAGAATAATTTATAAAAATATTATTGGTTAAAAATAGTAACCAATAGTATTGGTGAATATTATTATTATTGGATGATTTTAAATGATTTTCAAATTAAATTCAAAGAAAATAATAACTTAAAAGAAAGGTTACGTGTTTACGATCCCATGTCAAGAAACTTTTGATTTAAATAAATAAATATATAAATAAAATATTAGGATTTTAATTCTTTACAAAATAGATACTTTTTAAAAGAAAGGAAAAAAGTTTCGAGAGCGCGTAAAACCTCCTTCACGAATTTTTACACACACTATACAATATTAATTTTCTCATACAAAAAATGTATTTTCAAATGCAAGAATTAATTGTCACTTAATTATTATTAAAATATAATTTAATGAAAATCAGAAGCGTTTGAGCGTTCAATTTTATTGGGCGGGAACGTTAAGTACTGTATGAATATATGCACATTCCCATAATCCGCTGAACAATCTTAATATGACAGCGGTTCGCGATTATATCGATGTCGATTCGTCTATCTTCGAAATGAATTGATTCGAGATACGTGTGCAGATCGAAAATTCATTTTTAGTGACTCACCATTGTCGAATTTCCTTCTCGGTGACTGAAACAGAAAAGAACGAAAGCAATTTTAATCGAGTGCAAAATGTAACGAGAAGCAACGATTTGCAAAAAGTGTTGAGCAAACAGAAGGGAAAAGATTTAGAAACTGCAGATGGTAAAACGAGAAGAATAATATAGAAGGTATGTTATATTTGGTGCAATTTCTGTCAAATTTGTGTCTCATCGTGATTGAGTGAATACGAAATTTTGTCAATTTTACAAAAATCACAAATGTTTTTTTGTAGAATTTTAAAAAAAGTTAGGTTAGAATTTTTCATTTCGGAGAATTTGTTTTTTTTAGAAAAGGAAAATAAGCGAAATTATTATTAATTTCTAATTAGTCAGGAAAAAAGGAGAAAATCAATGTAATATGAAATATTTAATATGAAATATTTATTCTAAATATTTTTTTTTCTCATTTACGTAATTTTCATTAACACTTAGATAGTCTGATGGCGTGTTTCGATGTGCAATTTTCAATGGCTTGTCTAAAAATTTATGCGAAACGGATTTACAATTATACACGAAACATNTAATAATATAATATAAAATTTTAGTTTTAACGCAAAAAAGCATCCGTATACAATTTACACTTACTTTAGATAGAACTTTTTTATCTATAGTAAAAAACTACTTAAAACTTTATAATTAATGCGATATATCATTCGATTTACAAACTAATTAACTTAATTGTAAATATATTAAACTTGTATTAGTAATATAATTACAAAAATCTGATGCTAATGAGAATGAAACGTATAAAACGCGTTTAAAAACCGCGTTCGTTGCAAAGTGAGGTTATGTAAGCACTTTTGCGTAACCATTGAACGTATTATATATATATTCTCATATATACGTGATTCTGAACCAGTTTCTTTTTTTGGCATAAAACTTGCAGAAATGATTTTTATGTGCACTGATATCCTTATCAGCGAAAATATTATCAGGAAAATACGGAAATACACAAATATTCGCGCGAAAGATGGAATCTGTAATAGAGTTATTGCGAAATTTCACGAGGCAAATCGTTTTTTGATTCGAATGTGATCCACGATGTAAAAACATCAGAGAAATTGGACGATCTCGAAAGATCGTTAGAATCATTGATGAATTGAATTTATTCGAGGTAGAAGGAAAAATATATCAAGATATATATGCATACAGAGAGAATAGAGAGATAGAAAAGAGAATAAATCGAATTCGAATCGTTTTGAGCAAAATAAAAAAAGTGTCAAAGTGGAGAAGAGAATCCGGATGGCTTTTCTTTCCTTTGTAGGCCACTGAAAAAAAATAATCGCGTTCTATATTTGCGGACACAATCGTCAATATCATGTGCATTTATAGCAACATTTTTTCCTGGGAAAAAATTATATCGCGTTGAAAGACGGTCGAAAAAAAAAGAATGAAAATTTGTTCGAATACTTCAGTCGGATTTTACGAGATCGTAAACTCTCTAATATTTTCAAAGACATAACTCTTATAATAGTCAAATAAGCTGCTATTTTGCATTGCATAAAAATTCTCGTATCTTTGATAGGTTGAACGATAAATTTCATTTTGAATCAGACGTTGGGAATTAGATATATTAACGTAATATTAAAAATTTGAAAAGTTAATATATTATATGTTGAAATGAGAATTGTAACAATTAATTATTTTTATTTCAATCGATAGAACAAATATATTTAATCATACTTTACGTCAGATGAATTATTTAAAAGAAGATATTGACTTAAATATTTCCTTGCGCGATAAAAATAATTCTTTCGAGTGTCGGCCGCAACAAATCATAAGTTACTTTTATTTGTCACAATTTTATTATTAATATAAATAATTGCTAAGAATTCTTTTATAAAATTGTCCTCTTACAAATCATCTCGCGATTCGCGAGTTGTGAAACACTATACCGTGAGAAAAAACTGATTTAACAAAATAAGAAGAAGAAAAGAAAGCCGTATTTTCAAGCAGAACTCGAGCCATGAAATTCGTCGATTTCTTCGATAACTATTTAAGTTTCCTTTTGACAAATCGCGCATAAGTAATGCTTCTAGTAGGCTGGCCGTTGTGCCTGACTTTTATAACCTTCGATAAATTTGCGCATGGTTTTCGAGCTTGCACGCAGTTACCAGGACAAGGCCGTCCCTCGTTTTCGGCTCGCGTTTCTTTTTCCTCTTTTTCTCTCCTCTCGGTATTCTGTAATAATTGCATCGCAATTACGTTTCGAATCCAGTATATGCAATTCTATTCCATCGTCTCTTCTTTGCAATTTGTTCAATGTGGCTGATGAAATACTCGTCCATTTTTATCTCGATGTTCTTGCTTGCGTTCTTTTATCAGATTGCGTATGTACTCAAAATTTACAGTCTTTTTTTAATTTTGTTGTTAATTAATAAAATTTTGGAAAATTAAAATTAAAATTACTAATCAGTTCTTCTTTTAAAGTCGGGTCTTTTAAATCATGAACCTTGTCATTCAAAGTTCTTTGAGGTGTGAATTGTTATATTAAAATACTTACGAATAAAAAGTACGAATTATCGTAGATTTTTATAAATCATCAAAAAAACTTTTGGTAAATTTAAGCAACCTAGATCGCTGACAGCGTATGCAATTAAAAACAAATGATTAATAAATAAACAAATGATTGCTGATAGAGCTTAATGAGAAACATTTTTAAAAAGAAAAACACGGTGCAAAAATTATTTGCAGTTCACCTGCAAAGCTAATTTAACTGTTTTCTTAAATTCTCGAATTTTGTCGATTATTTGTGATTCCAAAACTTTCGATCGGTAATGTAGATATGCGTAGATAACGACATTATGTATGTAACACGTTATTAAGCAATTTCTTTAAAAGCGATGAAAATATGATGAAAAATACGATACGATAATAAATCACATACACTTATAAATCTAAGCGTATGATTAAAATACGTATTCCTTTTGTCGATAATGTCTCGATGTATATTTCTATCAAGATATTTCCCGCTATTTTACAAAGCCATTTTCTATATACTTTTAACGATCTTGCAAAAAAAAAAAAAAAAAAAAAGTTGAGTGTCATTTACCGCAAATAAGCGAATCAAATAAACGGCTCGGGATGAAATTACCTCTCGTCGTAAAATGAATTTATTTCGCGGTTGAACGAAATACGACGAGCGAGAGATAAAAATATTTCAGCGCACACATGCACATTTTTCATTCGATTCACAATATTGAAAACAACATTGTTTCGATTATCGGTTAAAATGATTCTCGAATTATTATCAGATTCGTATTCGTTGTTCGATAGTAGCCAATCTTATAGTATCGTATAGTTACTTTTACACGAAAAATCGATGCGATTTGAAATTTGTATAAATAGGAAACAATCGAAAACCTGTTGATTTTCGATGCGTGAAACGTAGTGGAATCTATTTGTAGAGGAAATCGATATAGAAGAATAGACAAGGACAAGGTTAAAAATGTCTCGCGTCTCACTCGATTCGAGTAAAAGATAAGTATTCGCGTTATGGGATAAAACTCGAACTCGTTTTCTTGCTTGGAACGTTACTTTTCTTTCGAATCGATCTTGGAAAGTGAGCTGTAACTGTAGAATAAAGTGCTAGCGCCAGCGATAAAGATTCCGCGAAAATTATGTAACTAGAAAGTTACTAGAAAGGGAGCAAGTTATTCTGCCCCAATAGAATCGTTCTATGTTTCTGATTGGTTGAACTATTTATTACAAGAACGTTGTATCACGGTTATGCAGCAAGGAATAATAAGGATAGGAATTGAATGCGTAATAGTCGAAAAATATTATTCTCGATTCAATAAAAGGTTTAATGATCGGAAAATAAGTTTATGGAACTTATTAGTTCTTATTAGTAGAACTTATTAGTAGAACTTATTAATAGAAGTTTATAGTATTTATGAAAAATGAACGAAAGGAGATCAATTTCGAAATTCACTCGCAATGGATAAGGTTTGAAAATAGCGTAATCAGAGATTGCCATAGGACACCCGTTTCTCGATACGTTGGGAATTCTATCGATTTTCTGACAGCAACGAGCTGACACTGACCGATTAGAACTCGACTTCCAATTCCGGATAAATCGGAAATTTTATTTTCGAAATCCTATTTTATTTTTTGAAAATGACATTTTGATTTCAGATTTATAGAGCATAGCTTGGACTCGAGTAAAATATTTTAAGGGTATATTTCATCTTCGCGTTCGAATTCGAATCGAAATGAAATATAGGGGCACGGTAAAGTTGAAATTTTATTTCTAAAATATTTTATTTTCGATTAAAACGATTCCTTTTAATCCAAGATAAATCGAACTTTTATCTTCGAAATGCCTCATTTTTTTTATTCAGATTTATAGAGTTTGATTACTTCTTGAAGTAGAAAAGTTTTAAGAGAATAGATGTATTATATAAAGGAACCAGAATCATAAAATATTCCATATATTTCGTTTCCAGTCCATTTTTCGAATTTTGCAATATTTATTTATACTTGCAGTTGAATAATAATACAAATATTGACAGCTTCTTATCATTTTTCATTAATAACAAGCCTACCAAAAAATTCGAAGAATAGAATATATTTAATTCTTTTTTTCCTTTGTTCGATACATTTCATGATTATAGAAATCGAATTAATAAATAATCGAATTAATAAATAATAAAATGGCGAGTAGCAATCGATGTACGCATAGCGTGTTTCTTAATTAATTAACTCGGGTGCGAAGTTTGACGAATCACGAATTACGTGGAAAACGAGATGCGAGGTGATGCTTTCAAAACACGTAAAACCGCCAAAGGCTCTAGTTGAACATCGTTCAGCGTTTTAATAACGTTTAACGCGTAATGAAGAGAAAGTGAATTATACGCGGCATGAATCATATTGCGACATAATGGAAGTGTAATTAGACACGATCGAAGAAGAAATAACTCGAAGTTCAAGACAAAATTTGATAAAAAGAACGATACGTTGAGATTACGAATTACTTACGTAAAAGTT